ATGAAGATAAAAAAAATTTTTTCTACTCATGCTTAGTTTTTCCAACACTCTTGAAACAATAATGAGTCTTACCACCTCAAAATATTTTCATATACATATCCCTAAAGATGGATTTAAGTTTTCCATGATAGATCTGTGATCCATAAACAAAAATATATCCCTTTACTATAAATTAATAAGCTTCATGGTGAGCCATATTTTATAATTTTTAATATATAATTCCTTAGTAGTGATCATGTTCTTTAGAAGTTTATGGTGAGCCGTATTTTATAATTTTTAATATAAAATTTCTTAGTAGTTATCATGGTTCGTGTGGCTGCCTTTTACTTCATCAGCTTGGAGTGAGATGGCATTTCCCTGACATTCAGGGACTGCTGTCCTACCAACAGCCTGGGTGTGTTTGCATTCATTATCTTTTTGCAGTGGAATAATAATAATGGAAGAGGGGATAGGATGGGAAAAGAGCAGTTCTATGTCCTTTCTTTCTCAAATCCAAGTATATGCTGCTCTCTTGTGGAAATTCTATGGTAGTTACAAGCATTAGGTAAAGGTGTCCTTGCTTTCTGAATTTTATTTTGGTCTATTGAATATTGCTAAGACAGATTCAGTGCATATGATCTAACAGGTTTTGTTTTTTTTTAAATACAAATACCAATTTTACCTATTAATGTACTATTGCTCTTTTCCCATTTTGATGGTCAGCATCCATTGTTGACAGAGATTTGTGTGCTGCATTTGGAATTAGATTTGTGCTGTTTTGTAAATAAACATATTTTTTTTAATACTGGAAAACTGCCTCTTCTGCTCTTCAGGTAATGCTGAATTGCACCTGTAGTTATCTCTGGTTCACTTTTTCAATTAACCTCAGTAAGAAAATAAGTGCTTTAAAAAAGAGAATGAAAATTAGGGTATCTGTCTGCATGATGTTTGTTTTTGTGGGGGTGTTGTCCAAGTCATGGATTCTCTAATCTTTTCCTGTGTATTATGAAACTGAGTGATGAGTGGAATTTTTACAATAATGTTTCAAAGTACATCACTGTCCAGCCAAAGAATGGAGACAGTATAGTCACAGAGCCATCCTCACTGAGGCTCTGGGAAATAAGAGCTCCACAATCAGGAGAGCTTTGGGTGCCTGGTTTCCTGTGGATGTCTTCAGGGTGAGATTCTTTTCTTTCCAATGAATATGTGTGAATATATATACATATTTGAGTTTATATGGCTCTTGCTGTGTCATTAAGAGCACCTTTCTACCTTGACAACTGCTTTCATTACAAGAAAGAAGTATTTGAGGCAATAGCTCTACGTTCTTACATATTCTGCAGCATATTTTATCCAGTAGAATCCTTATGCAATATACAGGCTAAACATCCTCCCCCTGAGAATTTCTACTGCAAACCTGATATTTTATTTGTTTCTGTAAAGTCTGGTTGAATTCACTAATGCAACACACACACAGCAAAATGGTCAACTACAAAGAAACACTGCTGCCACCTCTAAGGAAAAAAAAATCCCCTTAGTGCAATTACTTATCCTTGTAAGCAACAATTTTTGAAGATAAGTTACGTTAGAGCACCACCATCAAAAAAATCACACAGGCAATTTCAAAAAGATTGAATTTACTCTTTTTGAGTAAGTTTGTCCAGCAAGTTGAAGGAGGATTCAGACCTATGGTCTGCTCTAACCCTTGGAGGAGCACAGCCTGTTTTCAAAGGGGAATGAGCAAGGCCCTCAAGGCATCTTTAGTGCAAACTGGGCTTTCAGTGAGGGCTAAAGCACTGTAAATGCAGCCTCTGGCTCCCCACATCCCAGCTTCTCTGGGTACCCAAGCCTTGTATTCTCTTGCTTGTAGACAGGGTATTACCTGGTGAAAAGAAGGAGTACAAAGAATCAACTCATAATCAGTAAGCTTTTGTGAGTCCTGTGAAATAGAGTGAGAGCTACGAAGGAAAAGCAAGTAGATTTTGAGTGTACAATATTTCAGGAGAGGTTGGGAGAAGGTGTTTTTCTAATATTTTATTATGTCTCCTCTTTAGAGAGAGGCTAAGCCAGTGCCAAAGGAATAGTTTTCCAATGTGCTATTTGTTCACAGGATGGATAGGGGCTGACAAGCTGACCATCAGAACAGCTTCTTTGTCCTTGGAGCTCCAGGTGGTTTAACAGTGCAGAGAAGCTACGAATTTTTACCAAAATTACTGTTCATTCCTTTTTAGATGACTTTTCAGCCCTGTCCAGCTTATTTTCAAGGACTTTTAAAAGAAAAAAAAAATTAAGCAGTGTACACATATTCTCTGTTGTCTGCTTGAGGGTATAAAAAATCCTGACTTTTATACACAGTAGTTACACCATAAGCTTTTTTAGGCAAGAAATAGAGAAGATAATTGCCTCATGTTTTACGAATTGGGTTAGAGACTTCTAATCCTTCAGAACTGTGGTCAGTCAGCTGAGGTCTGAGGAACACTGAGATAAAGTGGAAAATGGCATTGGCATCCTGAATTTATGATAAAACTTCATTGAAAATTCATCCAAGGAGGGCAAATATCAAAATCAGTGTATAATGGAGTGATTGTATTTCACTTGTGTCATTCCTAACACCCAAAAGACAGATGTGACATTTAATGGAAACCTGGACACTTGTTTTGAAAGGCCTCACTGTTATATGTGTAGCAAATGATTGTCTAAGCTTCTTTCCTGTACTATTTGTCCACTGAGCTTCTTCAGGGAATAAGAGAAATAAAATCACTCCGCAGATTTTAATTTCTGCAAGAATGCTATTCCCTTCAAAGGATTGGTCTTTTTACCCAGGATTTGCTTTTGCCTTTATGATTCCATTCCCCCAAAATGATAAAAAAAATTATTAAACTTCTGGTTCTTATTCCTTTCTTCCATTTCTTTACAGAAGCTGCTCATTGGTGCATGTGATTGTACCTGCTCTTCATCAGCAGCATGAGCTGTGCTTTGAATCATCTCATCAGAAAACGCCATTGTATTGTTTCTGTCTGTTCTATCATTTTACTTTTAGCTTCTTTTTAAAGCTTATTCATAGCACTGAAACTTTTCCTCAAAATTGTTGTGGGTTCATTAGACTTTTACCATGTGTCACGATTCAGCTGCAGGTGCTGGCAGTGAGAGAGACACGGGGATGCATGAGCGAGAACTTAAAGGTCATTAGTCCCCTTTGTTCAGCCCTGAATTCATATCTTTATCTGATATCAGATGGGAGATCTCTATCCTGCAGTTTTCCATGTCCATGTTTCTAGGAGTGCTAAATCAGCAAAAAAGCAGCAGAGAGTGCTGGAGCAGTGCAGTGCTGACAGCTAAATCCAGGGAAAACCTTGACAGAGCAGGCGTGTGCCAGATGTACTGTAGTGAATAGTGCGCTGCTGTATGCAAAGAGACTCAAATGAGAGCAGGAATAGAAAAAGGAAATTTTGGTCTCTGCCGGGACCTTCCCAGCGCAGTAGTGCGGGTATTTAAATGTCCATATCGCCCTGATTTTATCGCTGCCGTTCCGCAGCGCGGGAGGGAGCGCGGGACGCGCCTCTGCAGCGCGGCAGCGACAGCGCCGCCCGCCGGCCGCCCCCGCCTACTGCAGGCACGGCGGGCACCGCGCTCCGCGCCGGCACAACTCACAGCGCTTCAGAACTCACAGCATCCGCCAGTGCTGCGCCCTGTTTGGTCTTCCAAAAGGCAGGAAAGGAGCTAGATGATGTCTCCTTTGTTACAGGAAAAGAGCTAGCTGATATCTCCTCCCTTCTCCCTACCCAATGACTTCATTTCATTATATATTATATTATATTATATTATATTATATTATATTATATTATATTATATTATATTATATTATATTATATTATATTATATTATATTATATTATATTATATTATATTATATTATATTATATTATATTATATTATATTATATTTATTATATTATATTATATTATATTATATTATATTATATTATATTATATTATATCATATCATATCATATCATATCATATCATATCATATCATATCATATCATATCATATCATATCATATCATATCATATCATATCATATTATATTATATTATATTATATTATATTATATTATATTATATTATATTATATTATATTATATTATAATTTTTATTTTATTTTATTTTATTCTCTGCGTCTTGCCTACCGCGGCTGCCACTGCAGGATTGCCGTGTTACAGCAGCAGAGTTCCTCTGTCATTAAATGAACATTCCCCAAAGCTCCAGCAAAGACACTGTCCTGTCCTTGCCAGACCCACAGCTTGCCATTGATGCTGAAGCTGACGAATGCTGATGGGTTGCAAGAACTCAGCTACTGTCTCTAGGTGGGAAGAGTAGGTTAGACTGGGTGGGGTCCTTTGCCAAGAAAAAAACTGATGTAATTTTGTCATATCCAAAATATTAATCACCTAAAGGTTGTGATGGGTGCAGAGATAAGATTTTTCAGAGCCAGCCAAGGTGTTTTCACAATAAAAGACTCAGTATTTTTCAGGTAATGAGGCCTTCTAATAACCAAATATGAATTATTGACATTGCCCATGTGTTCATTTCCATTCTCATTTTCCATCTTTTTTTATTCTCAAAACATATAAACTCTCACTGGCTAGAATCTCATTAGCTTTGTCTCTTCATTTTATTGCCTATTGGCAATAAAACTCTTCTCTCCTCCTATATAAGTCCAGTGCACATTTCAGCATCAGCACTGCTAGACAAAATCAGCTGGGCAAAGTTTATCTTGGAAGCTATTTACTGTAGTCTGTGAGGGAGTTTGGTGACATTGGTTACTTGACAGAAGTTTTGCAGTCAGCCAAAAGTAGAGAAGTAATTTAATTCCTGTGCTCTCTCCAAAGAAAATCTTTGAAAGGACAATAATAAAGTAGGAATTACATCAACACAGAAAGAAGCAGAGGTTAGGAGAAACACTTCAGTTGTGTCGTTCTCATCCAAAAAGTATGCCATCTGTTACTGAGGAGTGAATTGGAAGAACCTGTTGCATTGTAGGAGCACTGGCATGAAGAAAGAGTAACAAAACCTCTGGCAAGAGCGTTAATAATGGTAGACTCCAAATGCAAAAATAGGGCAGAATCTGGTTTTATAAACAAGGTTTTAAAGTTATTCTTCTGTATATGGGTCTCTGTTGCAGGTCTGCCATTGATTTTGCTAGGACTAACCTCTGGTAAAGGACAGGTTTAACTGGCCTAGACTTTGAAAATTCACCTTCCCAGGACACCACAGGAACTGCTTGTTCCAAGGGAGGTGTCTCCTTCACTTTAACTTGGTAATGCATTTGAATGTGTTCACCTTAGCTCTTGGGAGGTTTCACACTGAGTTGAACTGTGCTTAGCATTGATAGTAAAAAGAGATCTTACTTTTCTTGGTAGTGAATGTATTCTAATTTCTGAGAGAGATATTTGACTTTTAAGATAAGAGGAAAATAATTATAAACACAAGCAGAACTCATAATGTATAATATTAAGCTTAAAAATTAATAGTTGTCTTTCACTTCAACAAATATTTATCCTGAGCATGTCATTACTTTTTTCAGCCCCTTAAAAATGCAAGGCAGAGCACTAGAAACCTGGGTACCTCCTGGGGGCTCCTAGGTGTTGTATTCTCTGTTTTTTTGAAAGAGTGAAAATGTGGTTGTTACAGTCAGGACCTCAAAGGGGAAGACTTTGAAAATGCTTTGTCATCCATATATCCAAGTTCAAGCCTTACACATCAAAAATTATCTTATATCTTGGGCTTAAAAGCATGTCTTGGCTCACTGGCACCTTGCTCAGATAGCCAGTACCCTGTGTGCAGATTTTCCTATATCCATTTGTCATTAATAGTAATACTTATTTATTATAATTTATTAATGGTACTATTAGTATGGTTTCCAGAGCTAGACCCCCAGCAATGGAAGTGGGACATACACAAACTAAACCACCTTATGTTTTTAGGAAGGTTTCTGATGCAACACTTTGTTCTTCCTCCCTGGTCTTGTACCAAGACAATGTAACACACTGGTAGTTCCAGTAACACACATCTTACACACACATATATATACACACACATAACTTCCTATATATACAAGGAGATCTGTTTTAAACTATCAGTAAATTTTTCAGGAGTCTAAAGTTTTTGATAATTAGCACTTGAAAAATGTTGTGAAGTTCGTCATTCGTGTTTTGACATGCAAAGACTAATGTAATAAAAGAATCTGCCAAAGATTCATTGCTTTCATTTGCACCTCTGATTAATCTTTTTTTATTGGTCCATCACTTTTTTTGCCAGTTATGGTTCTTTGCTGATAATCTAACATGTTTGAAGTCCCTCTTTGATTCAAATAAATGAAAGTTGGATGGTATTGTTTGAAAAGGTGCTATTCCTGCTAAATAATGAAGTAATTCTGGCTCAGTTTTTTCACTGATAGGTCTCAATTTGGCTAATTGGTCTGATGACATGTGAAAGTGTTTAGAGGACATCACAAAAGTGACAGAAAAACATGCCCCCAGTTTGTTTTAGTGTTCTTTTAAACTTTTCCAAGGTTAATCCTTTCTTCCTTTTAAAGCTGTAAACATCAGAAGGAGGCTTTATTAAATTGTTTTTACCTCAGACTACAGGGGGCTTTTAATGGAAGAGGGAAAAATGTTTGAAAGTGTTGAGTCTTTCTTCTTTTTCTAAGGCAAGAACATTGGGAGTCTACACAATGGGATTTTAATAACTGGTGTTGTTACCTTCACAGCAGTGAAAAGGATGGGGGCACCTGGTTTCACTGGGCTGGTTAAAAGGAAATGAAGCTATTCGGTACAATATGTACTTGAAAAAGCACACAGAAGTATAAAGATGTTATTTTAAAAAAGTCAAACAGTTTTATAGAACATATGAAGTTCTAAGAAAATATTAACAGACTGTCTCTGTTTTGCAGCATCTCAAGTACCACAGTGACACCTGGAAGCATAGGTGCACTTCCCTGAGTAGCTAAGCCATTAACAGCATCCTCTGGAGCCCTTATGGATACATCTGCACTAATGATGGCCCATGGACTAGTGTCTTCTCCAGAACTGAGAACAGCCAACGTGGCACATCAGGCCTTAACAGAGCTGCACTTCTCCTTTGTCTCTCCTTTAACCAGCACCACAACACCCCTCAGTGCCCAGAGGGGCCTTGTGATGCCTCCACTGTGCATTGCCTGGGAAATTCCCTGCTCCTGCAGGGTGAGCCATCCTGGGCATTCAGGCCATGGCCACTTCACTTACAAGGTGGTGTGCAAATGTGTGTTGTACATAGCAAAAAGTTGTAACTTTTCTGTAAAAGTGAGCAGAAAATAATATTTGCAGTATTATGTTACTGTACGTATATTCCAAGGAGACATGTTTCATTTATTTTTAAAATTTTAAATATTTTAAGAATTGCAATTGATGATATGAAATCAGACATATCAGATCCTCTATGACCTAGATATTTTTCTATTTCTTCCCTTGTAGTTGAAATAAATACTTCATTTATTGCCTTCAAATTAAACTGCTGTCAAGATACCATAGCATGCTTGGTGGACTCTGCCTTGTAATGAGTCTGAAAGTCTCTGGTATTGCCTCTGGGAGAGATGCTTGTGGGTTTTCACACCAGTTTAACCATGTTCTGTGAATACTCTCATTTCTTTCTGTTTTTTATTGTTCCTTGAATAGTTGTTAGACTTGCATAAGAAAAACATGGGGAGCTCTTAAATGTGGGAGCTCTGGCTGGCTGTTCTTGCTGCTGCTGCACAATCTCATAATGCCGTTACAGCTCTCTGCTCTTCTCTCTTTACTGTGAAAAAGATTATTTTGTATTGCTTCATTTCACATATTGTCTATAAATTGATCTCCTGAGTCATTTAAGATCCTCACAACCTGTCATTGCTTTTGTAATTTCTGTTGTTTTGCCATGTACCCAGACTTTTTTTTTTTAGCTTTTATTTTTGAAACAGAAGAAATTGCAATAATTAGGGAGTTTAGTGCTAGGAAGTTTTGTAAAGTTGATATGTTTACCTAAATGTCTCATCTAGTTTGGTGAGTCAGGCTGACCAGGGAGTTATTTTTATACCCACTTCAGGGAAGCTGACTTTTTTTTATCCTTTGAATCATTTGCTATTACATGCTTCCAGAAGAGCTGTGTTGCTGCTCTGGCCCTCTGCTATGCAAATAAGCTTCGCTGCTTTTCCCTAATTTTTTTTACCCTTTCCAAACAACAAGACTGCTTATAAATTGTTCCACTGTTGTGGCTGTGGTTTTTTTTCCATAGGCTCACACAGCTGTGTTCATATCACTGTGCGCATACACAGAACTTGGTGCTCAGGCCTTGTGCCTTGGCCCTGTTCTCATTAAACCATAGGAGAACTTCTGGGAATCAAAACTGATTGGACCTGTTTTATGGCTACAGACATAATTTTACCTCGAGGTACTTTGCCTGGGAGTCCAGTGCATGAGAATCCTGAGTGTTAAAAGGGGTTTTGGAAAGTCATGTGGGCTCTGGTTATAGGTGGTGAAGCCAAACCTGGTAGTTGAGCTATTTCATCTCACAGCAATATAGTGATTTCCTGTGGAGAAGAAAAAGAAACTTGACTCTGTTTGCTATTGAAAGATTATGAAATAGGTATTTGTTTTGCTAAAGAAGACATCCAGGTTCAACTACATTGCCAAAGTCTACAGAAAATTTGCATCAGGCTTATAGATGAAGATAAGGACCTACAACTGAAAAGGTAAGGCTTTTTACCAAAGGACTATCAGGGTTTTTTTTAAAGTTAGAAAGTCAGTATATGGTATCCAATTTTATCTGAAGTTTTAAAACAATATAAAATTGTATAAAGATCAATGAAAGTATAAGCAAGCAAAACAGCTTGGCATGATGGCAAGGTTTGCAAAGGTGCCACCCCAGACCACCTGGCCTACCAGCAGCGCTGCACTCCCTGATGGAAGGGAGCTGGGTGCCCTCCCTGGCCAGCAGGATTGTTTGTCTCTGCAAATGTCCTGCTGCTGTAGGCAGTTTGTTTTGCATACTTTGCCAGATGGGACTTCTACTGCTTTCTTTTCTCTACTGCCTCTCACGGGTCTGCTTTAATTGTAAGAATCATGAATATTGGAGCTGAAATTTGCCCTGACACTCTTCAAGGCCATATATCAAAGTCTGTTTTTGTCTACATGCACTTCACTTAAATGTTTTTCTTGCCTAATTCTGAAGGAACACGGAACATCTGAATTTGTTGGAATTTTAGACAGTTCATATTTCCCCTCATTTACATGATGACATTTACATTCCTTCAAATCCTCCTTTCATAAGAATCTTGTTCCTCGCTCTTCAGGTCAAGACTCTTTTCTCCATGCTGTGGGGTTTGCAGGCATGTTTCAGGTGCTTCCCTGTGTGCTGTGATCCTCGCTGCTCAGGGAACAGTCACATTGATGAAAATGAAGACTGGCCAGCTCCCCTGCTTCTTGTCTTTTATGATTTCTGGCAATGGTACCTCCTGTAGACCCTACCCCAGATCTGCTTCTAACCTACCACCCTGGAACCAGAAGGGCAGTAGATGCTAAGAGATGACACAATTTCAAAAACAAATTGGTCCCCGTCATGAAAGTTAAAGCCACCGAAGTCTGCCAGATGTGGTGGCTGGTGTACAACTGCTGGCCTAGGCCAAATAATATTTGGCCTGAGAGTGTAAATGCAAAAAAAAGCCTGCCAGGGTGCTGTGAAAGCTTTGCATTTTTTACTATTCTTTAAAGATTAATTTCAAATTTTCCACTCATCTATTGCTAGTAAGTTGTTTTATAAGGCATTGTACAACTGCTAAGCAATTCTTTGCTTATTCTGTTCCTGTTTTCACCAGTCATTTGCTGAGCTGTAGTTAAAGGCACTATTTGTCTATTAACTATCACAAATGTAAGATTTTTTAAAATAATTCTACTCTGCTCTTGAGGAAGCCTCACAGAACATGCTTTGTCACATTCTTGATCATATCAGATTTTGCTGTGGCTTATTACTTTATGACATATTTTCCCTTGCTTTTCTTTCTTCCCCTACTTCTACCTTGCAGTGTTTTGCAGTTAATTCTAGCAACTCTTTAGTTCATTTCAGGCACATTTTTTGTCCCAGTTGCTCATAATTTTAATAGTTTCCATAACTAGCCCATAGGCTTCTTTACCATGTCTGCTCAGTCAGTATTTTTTAGCACTAACCTGTTGTCTGTCCACATTGAACAGTTTTCTAGCTCATTGGAATATTAATTGGACAAAATTATTGCAACTGGTCACCCTTGTGACACAAATTCTGCCATTATGGTTCAGATAAATGTTTTATTCATGCTCATAAATGCTTAAATATTTTGTATAATAATTATAATTGTTGATTCTTTAATCACATTGCTTTACACATAGTGCAGTTTTAGTAAATTTAGGATTTTTGCTTCTGTTCTAAATTAAACTACCCTACAAAACTAGCTTGAATTTCTTAATTAAAAATAACAAGAAATGCCTTCAAGGTAATGACAACCTTTTCTTTCATTTCTACACATTTTTCTAATGATTTGAAGCCAGAGTGTATCTAGCTTTCAAGGTTTTCTGTTTCCTTTTCAGAACTTGATGTACCAAGAGAAGATTAATGCATCTCTATTCATATAACTCAAAAAGTAATCTATCCTTTTTTCTCATCAATCTGCCCCAGAATTCTCTCTGCTGCTATAGAGTTGTTACACTCAAAATCTTGCTTGCTTATATAGGTAAAGCTAAAAAATTATTAGCATAACTGGAAGTGAAGCACTCTAACCACTACTAGTCCAGATCTAACTGTTTAAAAAAGAAGGTTAATGCAGTTGAAATGTTTTTACACACAACTTCTAGTGCCTGTCTCCCAGTGTTAGGGACATCTGCACTGCTCCTGTGGGTGCTGAGATTGGTGGGGTTTCATACTGGTGGCAGTGGTAGAGTGCTAGTGAATTGCCAGCCCCTGGAGTTTTTCAGTGTGAGAAATGGGTCAATCTGGGGCCATTTTTATGTGTCTGCCAAAAACCTTTTACAGCTTTGCTCTGTCTGCATTGGTCTGTTGTTCCATATTACACCCGATTTGCTACCTATGGTGTCTTTTGTGTATGTTAGACACTATTTCTTTGTTATCTCCAAAACCAGTTCAGTCCAGCTCCAGGTCTGCAATCATCATGTTAGAGTCTTAAACACTATTCTGCACGGAACAACTGCTTCTTACTGCTATCTTTATAAAACTACGGTCCTATGTACAAAGGCAAATTAAATGTAGACATGTGGTTCCCTTCCTGCTATTCCGACTTGTTCTCCTCTGTTGATGTTCCTAGCAATAATTTCGCCTGGGTTAAAAGACTTTCAGAATAAATAATAAATAATAAAAAAACCACATGGATGTAGAATAAAACCACATGGATGTAGATACATGTGTTTACGTGTACAATGTTGATGAAAAGAATAATGGGAAAGATTCTTCTCCCTCCCACACTCAAAAAACCCCACCCAAAACAAAAAGAGCACCTGCAAAACAACAGAATTAAACCAACCAAACAAACCCCCCCATAAACAAAAAAACCCAAAAACCTAAACCAACCAGCCAACCAACCAAACAAAAACAAAAAAAGAAAAGGCTCTGAGAATTTGAAGACATGCACAAGCAATTGATTGTGCAAACTCTCCACAGAGCAACTGAGACCACAATGAACTTCCTTGTCTTTAGGAGTTGTATGGTAAATGGTAGATCTGGGAGGCTTTTTTGAAAAGAAATTTGAATACAGTGATTTTGAGAATTCTTTAAAATAATATTTTCCCTCTTTAAAAGCAATTTAGTGTACTTTTATTTAATTGTCCTACTACAATTAAATAAATTGTGACCTTACTACAAAAAAAAACCAACCAAACAAACAAACAAACACCAAAAAAAACCCCAGCAAACGAGCAAGCCAACAAACCTCTCAGTCCTGTTGCATATGTGATTTCTTGTTATACATATAATTCAATACAGTTACGCAGACACTGCTTAGGATGTTTTGCATGTTGACAACTGCTTAAATAGAACATAAAAAGCTTTAAACAATAAAAATCAAGTAATAATAAATGTTATTATCACTTATATTATTTTCTTATAATCTCTATAGTGTTATTGGTATATAAATCCTTAAATAATAGCTGACAGTTTCATAACCCATAAGATTTTGTTAAACATAAAGACAATTTTTAATATGCCATGGCACAGCATTTTGATGAGACCCATGAAGTATTCTGGAGAAACATACTGTACTGCCGCCATTTCATTGATCTAAGGTGGCAGATGAAAGTCTTGTCACCCACAGTACCATCTAATTTCAAAGTGAATGCAGTCACAGAGATGGAGTAGGGCAATTTTCAATGTAAATAATGTTTTGCCTTTCTGAAGGAGCTCATTTGCTGTCTTGAGGCCATTAGACTTCTGTCCTGGCTTCTTCAGCACTGCAGTTCTGCAATAGGATTGGAGAGTCAGTTTGAGATTGATAATTAACTTCTCACTTGTGTTG